AGCAGCCAATCATGAGCTTCATCATTGAATTTTTTAAGCTCTTCTAATGCTTTCTCAAAATGCCTTACAGTAGTAGCAGTTGCAAACGCCCACATAAAATCTTTGAGCTCTTCATCCTTCCATTGTCTTTTCATATTATCATAAATATGCCTCAGACAGAACCTATGATCAACTTGAGGGTTTAGTTTTGCAATTGCAGGAATGATGCCCTAGTTAAATATTTCAATAGTTAGTTAACTAAATAACAAACAATATCAAATTAGAAGTATATGTACCTTCTGCCTATCTGAGATGAAAGTGAAGTTTGAATTAGCATAAAGTTCCAGATCATCACCAAGGTGTTCCAAAAACCATGTCCATGAATCTGTGGTTTCATTTTCAACAAGTGCATATGCAAGAGGGTATATACCATTATTGGAATCTACCCCAAGGGTGTCAAAATTTGACATGGATAGGGGCCTTTCATGAAAATACCATCCAACCCTATGAAATCCCTTAGATTAGCCTTAAATCCTTCCTTCAATGCTCGTAAACAAATGTAAATTCTCATAAACATCCTTGTATTTACATTTGGCTCAGTGTGACAATCGATTTTGACATTAGTACCTGGGTTTCTTTCCATCAACTCTAGTCCATAGTCCCTCAAGATAGCATATTGTTTCTAAAAATCCCCAAAAACATGCTTCTGAGCCAATGCCTTTGCCCGATGTACCTTCATTCTTGACATGTTCATCTCGAATTTTTGGATGAGATCATCTTGAAGTGCAACGACTGGAATGGTTAGATTACTCTCAATTTGCTTCACAATGTCTGTAGCAATGAATTTATAGTTTCAAGCTTTAATGGTTCTTGATTGCACACACTGGTGCTCAGTAACCAGGGTGTTCACCACCCAGTCACCTGTCTCTTTACCCTCTTTCATATTCACTGTTTTGTCCTTGAATCCAGTCCTTAACTTTGTCCACGGCCCACCACTCATATCTGGTACCACTCCTCTACACCTAGCCCTAATCCTTGTTTTGTCATTTTTTTCAAAATGTAAATCCCTCTTCGTTTCTACTGCATGTTTGTTTATATAGTCTTTCACATCTTTCTTTGTTTTGAACTTCTGTCCCAATGTGAAAGCCTTTGGATGAACTACACTTTTAGAACAAGTTTTTGCCTTTACTATGTCTCTCAACATCCTCTCTCTGTTGTTATCTTCACTTACAATATGTGAATCAAATGAGTCTGGGTCTATGACCTCCAAATCTTCACCTTCAGTACAGTTAACACTACTACCACTTGCTTCTTTGGTTGTTTTTTGGAACCCACTCACATCTTCATCAACATGTATATGAAAATCTTTCATATCAACATCCACATCACCTACAATTTATTATAAATCCACAAAGAAGTCTTCATCCTGACTATCATCATCTGTCCCAGTACTTGTCAAAATCATTGGGGCATCCATCCATGCATAAATCCCGTTGCATGTAGGTTGCATGTAATTTTGTACATATTGCGTTAATTTTCATTTTCATTTTCTGCATAGAAAATTTTTCAAAAACCAAAAATATTTTCTTTCTATTCTATTTTTATTATTCTTTGCATTTTGTATCTAAATTTTTGCATTGCATTTAAAATAAAAAAAATGAAACAAAATCAAATTCACTAGATAGAAAATTGAAAGCAAACATCAAGTCATATGATTGAAATCACAACTAGAAGTCAAGACATAAAGTTGGAGAATCTAGGGTTCTAGCCACTCATGACTAGAACAAGATCACAAATCTAGAAAATGAAATGAAAGTTCTTACAAAATGAAATCAAAGGTTCCCAAGTGTTAATCAACTCCAAAATCCTCCAGAAAATCGCCTTCTCTGCTCCCAAAATCGACTCCTCTCTAAAAAAATCGGTTCCCCCCTTTAAGAGTAGTGAAAAACTGCTTTAAAACTTGCATTTACGTTTACACGGCCCGCGTAAATTAACACTGTCGTTTACGCGCCCGCGTGAACGCAAAAATACACTGCGCAGAAATCTACGTTTACACGGGCGTGTAAACGCAAGGCTTCCATTTACACGGCCGTGTAAATCTCTGTAAAGCCAAAATCTTCATTTCTTTTATATCTTGCTCCGCGGTGCTCCGCAAGTCCCGAAATTTTGTCCGCAAATCTTATTTACCTCCTCCAACAATATCCTACCTCCAAAAGTCCCTGAAATATCACAAAAATATGTGAATGAAATTGGCTCATGAAAAATCCCGAAAAACATGCAAAATGCACGAGTTTAAACCTAAATGCAATGCACTTTTATGGAGTAAAACTATAAAATGGCTGCATGAAATGCATCTAACATACCCTGACTCCTACTAACCTCACTCCAAGCACCCTCACTAACACTATCCTTACTTCCACTGTATTTATCCTCAAAAAACTCAACATCATGTAGATTTTTATCCCCACCATATTTTGCATCTACATCCCCTATTACCTCGTAATCATCCACTAGATCAGCACCCCCTTTTGGTTGGTGATCAACCCATGTCTCAACAGCTCTTTTACCTTGGTTATCCTCAAACCGTACCCCCCTAAAGGGATCAAACTGATCAGCTGAGTGTTTTTTGTTGATCACAGGTTCATAGGGTACAATCAACTTTGATAAATCAGTGGGCTCATTCAAATCCAATTTTTTACTACATGACCTAATTGATTTCCTTTTCATTCTAACCCTATTCATTTCAGGAGAATGAGCCCCTTCAACTTCCTCAATGCGAACCTTTAATGGGGACTTAAAGTAAGGGACTATTGTAGTCTTCCCATGCTCAATGTACAAACTAATTTCCTTATGATTAGGCACATAACTTGCCTGCTGAATAACTTCCTGATCGGTGCCACGGGGTAACAATCCATTATCTAAGTCTGTCTCCGGGATCATGAAATGGTAAAACATTATACCTCCATCATTGTACCCTAAAACTGTCATCATATCATCGAACTCGTGGACTGGAAACACATCCATGTCCACAAAATCAAAGTGATCCACAAGCCTATTCATGTACGCCCTTCTAGATACCGTATTTGTGAACGAACCCCCATGATTTACATTGAATGTGCAAAAGCTTGAAATAGAACCTAAGGTGAAAATTCAAGAAAAAAATGTTACAGATGGAGAAAAGCAAAATTACACGTGTACAACATTTCGTCAACCCTACCATTACAAGGTTTGTGCTTACCATATTCTTTACGTAGGTCAAGTGGTTGGGTGTAGCATGGACGTAACGACCACAATGTGAGCACCATTTTCCTCAACAAACCCTTGAATAAGTTGAACTAAGTTGCCCTACGACGATAAGAACTGACGATTGAAGAAGAGAGGATGATCAAGAGGTTTTCTTGAGGAAAGAGATAAAGGGTGAAAGTCAATGTCTGAAACTCAACCCCGCTACCTTAATGATTAAAGTTATTAAGTTAGCTGTTCAGAAAATGTCCTTTATGGTAAAATGACATAAATGCCCTCATGTGCAAGTCACATGGGGGCAGGTTAACGTTGGAATGGACAGACATCCAACTCGGGGACTATTCACATGCAACTTAACGTCTGTAGGTACCATTTGAGGGAAAAAACCATCGTAGGGACTACTTTAGGGAAAAACCAAAACGTAAAAGACCATGCGTGTAATTTGTTATATATATATATATATATATATATATATATATATATATATATATATATATATACCATCTTATAAAGAGTTTATAAATGTGGGCCTTCACCATTTTAAGACTATTGTCTTAAAAAACAAGGAAAAGACATTATGACCATTGATTTCAAAATAAAGGGTGTAAGATGACTATCCATGTGAAACAAAAGCAACCAATCAAATTCAATCTCTTAAAATCACATTGACTCTCACATGAAGATGACATCTTGACCCTTAATTTTATATTAATACAATCAAAACCGCTCATTAAGTTACTGATCCGCGTGAACAAAATTCAACCAATCAAACTTCATCTTAACATGCATAAATAAAGCCACTTTCACAACCATTTCTTTACTCCTCTTAACTACAAGTATCTCTCCCCCCTTAAATCGATAGCATCATAATGCAGTTATGTTGAAATCACCATTCCTTCTCTTTGTTTCTTTTCGTGAACGTTGTATCAAGATTCAACTTGTATTTGTTTCACCATCAGCACTTTTCTGTCACAAAATACAACATTTGTGATTTTTGTAATTTGTATTGTAACAAGGTTATTGTTGTTACTTATAGTGTTAATATTGATGTATCTTTGTAGATTTGTATCAAGTATAAACATATATAAAATGCACAACGTAAATTATGTTTGATTTGTGTGTAAATTCAATTCTGTAAAAGAATATATCCAGCATTAGTGTTTTGATTTTTTCCCTTTGAAGGTTTTTAGAATCAATTTCATACATGATAATGTGGGATAATCTTCCATGTCTATTCAAAATGAAAAAATATTGCAAAAGTGGTACTTATGTATCTTTATTTTTGCAATGTAGTAATATAGATAAATCAGGGATGAAAGAAAACTGCTTTTATTATTAACTAAATCATTAAATGACAAGCAAGTTATAAACTTCGAGGTATAGAATACATTAAAAACAAAATATATATGAACGAAACAAACACACATGGAAATTAGTTCTTATTGTTTTATGGAAGCCTTTACAACCCAATCTTAGATACAAAATCGAAACATTCATGTTTATGGATTCTTATAATCGAACCTTGATTACTAAATAATAAAACTTTATAAAGAAAGAGTACTTAGAAGAGAGCATGATACATAAAAAACCCAGTTTTGATCACAAACAGAAAAAGAAACGGATTTATTCCTTTTTAAAAATACAAAACACGAATGAAAATTTTCTAATTACAAACACAAACGGAAATCAGTCCAACAAACTGAAACTGCTACAGATTCTAAAACAAGAACACAAATTCTCTTACACTCTATATGCTGCTTTGGGGATACTTGTCGGAGATGGTTAGACCGTCGCCGATTGTGGCCTGTGTCATCAATAGTGTTGCGGAAAAAGTAGTCGGTGGTTGCTGCCCGACGACTGGTGGTGTAATTTCAGTTGCCGCTGGTTGGCGGATACTAAGGCCGAAGACAAGATTCGAGATGGAAGATTTTAGGGCTAATGTGCAGGGGAGGTTGATGATGACGGTAATGGACAAAGACCAGGTGGTGGCGGCGTCGTGTATAGGGTCAAGGACTTGGTGCCGGAGTCATGCCATAAGGATGTATCGAGGCGGCTGTGTAAAGAGGACGAAACTAATTAGGTTTAGGGTTGTCATGTTATAAATATATATATGTCTGTGTATATATGCGTAATGTTATATGTGGCCCAAAGCTCATTTATATTTTTTGTTTTATAGTAGAAACCACATATTTTATTTTAAATTAATTATGTTATAATTGTATATAAAATATTAATATCTAATTAATTACGTTAACCATTTCATCGTTTCTAATAACTTTTATATTTTTTAACTATATTACATAAACAATAAATATAAGCTATAAACTTGTAAATAAGTGTAGATTTTGAGATCAAGTTTGTTGTTTACGAAATAAATTTTATAAGCTATAAAATTTCAAATATATTTGTCTAAAATTTAAAATGTATAATAGTTTTTTATTTAGTAATACTTAACTGTTATTTATATTACATATAAATACACAAACAAGTATTATAACAAAATGTGCGTGAGGACGATTATTTTAAAATGGGAGCTCATCCGTACACAACAATTTTTCTCCGTACACAACAATCGGTGTTTTAAAATGTTATATTGTACAACTATATAATGTATGAATTGTTGTTTATGACAAAAAACTGTTGTGTACGAATCATTTAAGTCTCCCTAATGACTGTTATTTTGCACTATTATTCCCTTAAAACCAAAATCCAAAACCACAAACCTTAAAAATTGAAACCAAATAGTTTTTTCAAAACAAAATTTTTGTTGAACAACAAATATATTCACCGTCCACCCCTCCACTATTTACATGATACTTTTATTTCTAATGGAGATTTTCATTACATATGCCTAAACACACAAATAAATAATATTAAGAGAACCAACAAACGTTTCAAAAAAAAATGGTTCCCCAAATCTATTGGAATATACACTTTTACATTGCGTTACTTTACAAAATCGATTCAGTGTATTTTTCTTTTTAATCGAAAACAACGAGGTATATTATGGATAATAATATGGCTGAAATGAAACTAATTGCCGAAACAAAACTGTATAACGATAAAAAGACCTATAAACCCACATGCAACAATTACTAGAAAGCAAACTATTTGACGCTCAACGAAATGAAAATAATCCACACCTCAAAATTAATCGCACAAACAAATTAATAGCCGTCGCCGCATTGCGCGGGTACGCTACTAGTATGTATGTATATATATATATATATATATATATATATATATATATATATATATATATATATATATATATATATATTACTTTGTTGATTGTATAATTCTATCGTAAAACAAATAACCCAAAAGATAGTGATAATGAATGCATCAAAACATTTTTGTTGCACTCTATGGATTAAGCATGTTTGCATTTAAGCTACAAATTAAACAAAATAAATAACTACAAAATTCCACAAACAAATTGGAAATTTGAAGAATAACCGACAAATGTCAAATTTTTCGTCTCAAATATCTACTTTGAATTGTATTTTTTTTTTTCAGAAAATATTTTTATATGATATAAAATAACTATAAAATAAACAAAATGGACTTCAAAATATAGTCTTTCTAACTTGGTCATTTTGCTATATTGAACAAAACTTGTTTGTTATCTTTATCCCTAAAACTCACTTGGTAATTTTAAGAATATTCCAAAAAAAAATAACAATACTAATAATAAGAGTTTGACATATTGTTCTTGTGAAAAAGCTTACTATAGGTGCATAAAATTGGTCTTAAAGCAGTATGATATATTATTTTGTCTTGCCGACACTGATTTGGTATAACACCAGTTTTTGACAGTTTTTTTTAGTGTCACACATCCACACAAATGGTAATGAAGTATCAGGTACCAATCAAACACACCATATTGTCATTAATTAATTTCTTTATTTTGTTTTTAATTGGAAGTATGCTTTTTAGTAATTCAGTTCGTAACTCGAGTCCCATAACACATGATATATGGTGGTTGAATAAATTATCGAATACTATAATCCTTTGTTTTAGCTTCCTTACCGAATCATGGACGGTCCATCTATTTGTACCCCTTTCATAATCTAATACTACCTCCTAATGATTATGTTTCTTTTTTCCTTATTTAATGGTAATCATAACATAATAATTTTTTTATCTATAAATATACAATGATTTATGTCATTTCATTCTCATTAACTTTATTAATAATTATGTTTTTTTAATATAGTTTATATTATATTTTAAAATCTTATTATTTATTATTATTTTATTTAAATTAATTATTTGTTTCTTTTGTAAAATTTAGAAAAAAATATATTTATTTATTATTTATTATTATTTTATTTAAATTAATTATTTGTTTCTTTCGATGCAACAAATAATAAAATAATATTTCGACGCAACAAATAATAAAATATATTTCGAAGCAAATAATAAAATACTTGATTTTTTAAAACGTGTTCTTGTTTGTGCACCTTTATAATTCGATTGTTCATGACTTTCTGACGAGATCTTTGTGATGGTAATAGGTGGCCGATATGGTTAAATATAATATGGAAGTTAAAAATAGTTTTATTTATTTATTTTATTATCTTTAAATTTTATATTGATATTTTTTTAATTTTTTTTTAACTTTTTTTTAAATATATTATCTAATGTTGTAATACATTATTTAATTTTAAATTTTATTATATTTGTTTTATTGATTTTTGAATTTATATTTTATATTTCGTATTATTCACTTACGGATTCCGATAAGCCTACGTGAAACCTGTTCCGAATTACCATCTAATTGTTTCGGGTTAGTTTATGTATAATCCGAATATAATTTTCTAATGTTGATAGAACATATTTGAACAAAATGTAAAAAATAAAAATAATGTTTTATTATAACTTATTGAGAAAGTAATAAAATTCATTTTATACAAAATCAAATGAAAATTATATCACAAGAACGATGTGCAAAGGAATTGTATTAAAGCCTTTATGTCATAATTCAAGAGCCTCACAAACAATTGATTACAAGTAGAGAAGAACCTATGCTTCGCATGGGTCAAGAGTTTACGGGAATGCCAACTTATTTGAAAAACAGTTGAAGTTACAACAAATACACAACATTTAATTTAATAACTCTCATGTAAAAAACAACCACTATAGGATCATACAAAGATATTAATGTAAGGATAAAAGAAATGAAGCATCATGTTATAGATTGCCTTCCTTTATCGGTTATTCAGATCTCAGATAAAACAGATATCATCCAAAAGTGAGTTACAAATAAAAGCAGCAACAACATCACTTCCAAAAGCGACAGCTATCCAGACCACATAACTCGGAAATCCACAGAACTTCAATCCCAGCCTTTATGCATCCACAATGAGATCATCTTTTCAGATTTCAATGTTTGGAGCCTTATTATGGATGGTATTTAGATACTGCAAGGGCATTTTCGACTATCTTAACTATTGGATTCGCAACAACACGTTTAAATGTAGACAAATCCGGTGCAGTACATTAATAAGTATATTGGCCTGCAAATCACAAAAATAAAATAAAATACCCAAATACGTATCAGAAATAAAGAGATCAAATGTCAAGGTAAATGCTAGTAATATGTTCCAGGGGGACAAATTTGACTTTTACAGTCAACAGGGAAAAAAAAATTACACTTGCATTTTATTTTAATAATTGAAATTTGAAGCTTTATATTTTTATTTTTTTTGAACATTTCAAATAACAGTTTCTTCTTTTTCCGGTTTTGATATCATATTATCACTTTAACAACTAAAGTATTATTTGTTAACCATTTAATCATAAAAAAACAACAATTCAGTGGCTAAAACTTTAAAATTGTGAAATCATGTGGTACTTTTCTATTTTTTTTTTTTAATTCAAAAATCAGGTAAACAGAAAATTTTGGTTTTCTTAAAACAGGCAAAAAAAGTATAATAGCTTAATCAATATAGAAAAAATTTAACTTACTAAATCGATTAAGTATAGTTTCTTTTTAAGGATAATAAAAAAAATTACCAAAATGGTATTGTCTATACCATTTTTGTGATTATCCCTTCATTCTTAATAGACTTAACACACAAGTTAATCATATAAACTACATACGGGTGTTTCTTTTGACTTAATACAAAAAGAACAACTTATTAAATATGCTACTACAAGAAACATAAGTAGAATCTGGTTTATGAAATATACCTCAATTTTGGCCCAATGTTCAAAAGCTGAATACAGATTCTAAAAGCATGTTTGAATGAGGTGCTTATAATGGAAGAATTCTTCTGTTATTTGTTTCCTTTGTCGAGCATCTGTTATATAAAAAACCAAGTTTAATATAATACATGATTATTTTTTAAACATCTTTAACATGAAAAAAGAGACTTACCCATGAGAAAATATCATCATTTGATTCAGTTGAAGCAGGACTCATCAAGCTTTTGCTAGAAGCAGATCATCTTTGTTTTTTTATAGGTGAAGGAGCAGGAATCTCTTCTTTCTCTATCAACTCCACAACTTCCTGAATAAATTTAAGATATTTCATGTTTGGTTTTGAAAAAGTTCCAGCTGGAAAACATGTCTTAGAGAGCCACTGTTGACCACCATAGTCAAACCCTAAAATTTCCTCACTCCACCCTACCCTGTATCCCTCCGACCTCTTCCAAAAATTCAGATTCTGCTTCATTGGTCTTTCTTAAGTGGATCAGGGGATAGTAACTTGTCTCTTAGTTCAATAAATGTAAGGTCTAAAAGCTTTGGTTCGTTTTCATTTGGTTGGCGTCTGAAAATAAAGGAGGGTATTTATGTAAATTCACTTTCCCTGGTACTATACAGTTGATACAAGAAGAAACGATAAACTTACCTGTACTTTACTAATGATTCCTTGTATGGATGACGAAGAGGCTGCAAAGCTTTCTCCTGAAGCTTCTCCACAAGAACTGTCTTCCTTGCAGCCTCTTGGCAAAATGAGTCTTCATACTACATGAACATAACATTAGACAAATGGTTTTAACTTCATACTGTTTATCATGTATAAGAAAGAGCATAGAGAGTGGATAGCAGAAGAACCTGATCTGTAATCATAATAACAGGAAACTGTTGAAAC